TAAAAGAAAGGTTATTTTACTAATATAATATATCTAAGTCCTATATATTTAATTTAACTATAGTCATTTATCTATTCTTTGCTGTTATTTTGTATATACATGCATTCAAACCTTGCTGGTTTAGCCGAATACAATTATTTGCTATATTAAGCATATTCGTTATTTTTACTGCATCAGCTGAAAAGTATTTATTTATTCCTTATTTGGTATATTTGTTCGGTCAAAAAATATCATCGCGCAATTCAAATCATAGTATTATTGTTAAAAATGCACTAACAAAAAAGTAGCATAAAGAATCATAATAATTTGTTAAAAAGAAAAAGAATTTATGAATTGTAATATGAATAGTGGTAAGAATATTGAATTTAGATAGTTGAAAAATATATTTAAACCATGCCTTTAAAGCTTCAAATAAAATTTAAAATTTGATTAAAATTCTATAAAGTCTAAAAGTTTTATTCGATTTCTATTCAATAAACTCGTGAATTATATTATATATATTATATTCTAATTTTTGAAACAAAAAATGAGTGAAAGTAGTTCATCTAATAATTTGACAGTCCTCGCTCAAACTTCAGAAAATAAAAAATGCGATTACTGTAATGTAATAATGGAAAAGCAAAATTTTTTATGTCCTCGTGATGATAATCCACAGCATGAGTATGCAACTTGTAATATGTGCTGTGAAAGACGTGCTAAAAAGAGACAAGAAAAAAATTCAATCTCAAGAAAGAAATTAAAAACGGATATTAGCACTAATATAACAGTTCCGGTTATTAGTACTTCAAGTTCCTAAATTAATAATGCACCAGATGCTCTTCAAGTTAATAGCAGCTTTGAGAACTATAATAATTTTGAGTCAACGTTAGAAGCTAATTTTTTTGAAGATGAATTTGCAAACATATTACAAACTGAAGAAATAGAAGAATAGAATACATTATCAATTCACAAAGCAATGAATATGATAACATTAATACACTTTCATACTATATGGACGAAGTAGAAAAATTCATCACTATGTAGTTTCAAAATGCTGAGTTATCTGAAGAGTCTGCAAAGTTTGTATTTGAAATAGAATTAGATTCAGAGCTTTTAGACATTGTCGAACTTGGTTAAGATCTTGAAACCAACCCATTAAACCTGGAGAAAATCAAAAATAGCTTTGCGCAACTTACCAAAATTCTCACTTTACTACTAGAATCCGAGTCTGGATATTATTAAAGAGGACTAAACTTATGTTTAAATCTAAAAAAAAAGGAATTTACAGGATGCGCTACAGTATATCTTCAATGTGCATCACGTGAAGACTGAAAGAAGCAAAAACCAGATGACTAGGAGATCAAAAGACGAAGTGAAGCTCATGTTGCAATAGAGCGATTTTCCTGCAAAGGTAAAATTACGATTAATATAAACATACAATTGCAACTTGCAAGTGTACAGTATGAGCATCTGTGTTCACATGAACATCTATCATATCGACAAACAAAATTTTCAGAAGATGCAAAATAATGGATCCAGGAAAACCTTAAGTATAATCTGCAGAGCTTAGATATATATCGACATCTAAGTGAAAATAAACTGATTGATCCAATATATATGAAAGAACAGGTGTATTATTGGATATCAGTTTATAGTAAACAAATATATCTTAAAAACGAAGATAATCAGCTTTTATCATCTAAAACATATCTTGAACAGCCTAAAATTGTTACTAGAGGGTTTAGAATTATCACTTACTTTGACAATAATTTCATTCGAGCCTTGGAATTTGTTACTCCACTATTTGATTGGATTAATGCTGAAAATATAAATGAAATAGTAGTGGATTCTACATTTAAAACAAATCAGGAACGGTTTGAACTCTTTATCGTGAATGCTAATTGTGGAGGGTATGGTATGCCATTAGCGTATTTATATTTACTGGTATCAGATAATATTAAAGAAGTATGTTACTATCTAGAAGATGGAATTACTACTCGCGTACAGATTCTTAAACAATTCTTTATTAGTTTTCGACAAGAGGGATTGCTACCTTTATTTATGCTATTAGACAAAGATGCTGGTGAAATCTTGGCCATTGGTGAAGTCTGGTCATGGAAACAAATCTTCAATTATGCTATTGGCATTTAGAAAATGCTATTAGCAGACGTTTAAAGGATAAAAAACCATGATCAAATACTTATTCTAAACAAAAAGCGTTAGAAACTTATCAAAAATTTAGTTTTATAGACCCATCGTGGATTGCAGCTAGTAATATTAAAAGTTTATGTTCAGAAGAATTGTTCAAAGAAATTATTAATATTATTAAACAGCATGCAAATATGCATCCATTAATTCTAGTAGATAAAGATGTTTTCTGAGATTCGACACAGATTTATTACTACTGCATAGAGGAAGTTTATCGTTTCTGTTATACTCATAATTGAATTGTAAGGATACCTTTGGCTAAACTGGTATAATGGACATGATTGGGTATTGTTTGCTCGTTCCTCCTATTCTCGTGCAATGCCACTAGCCTGAACTACCATGATTACAGAAAGCCATTGGAGAGTACTCAAGTATAATTATAAATATAATTATAATAGACCTTGGCTTGACTGTCTTACTAATATTATTGTTGAACAACTGGTGCCAGATTTCGACCTTATGTTGGCCCAGTATAATATGAATCGTCATTTTCCATCTTGGTGGCAGGCCTTTAAAAAAGATTGGAATAAGGCTATGTCTACAAATATTATGCCTAATATAGATGAAAGGTATAATATTAATGTAAATAATTGGATATGTTCTTGCCCTGCATATGTAAATAGCCGTTATCTTCTTTGCAAGCATTTAGTTGCAAAGAAAGGAAAAGATTTTTGGCCTATCTTTAGTGAAACAACAAAACGACATGATTATCCATTAATCGTCTTTGGTAATAATAAGCCTCCAGCAATTTTTCAAGAAAATAATCCATGGATAATGGCCGATATAGTTATTTCAGAGCAGAGTTTTGCTCTTGAGAATCCTGTTATAGAAGGTAGCCGCTCAGAAAATTCGAGAAGTAAATCTATGATAATACGAGAAAATAAGATAAAAGAAAGAGAAGAAAAATACTCCCAATACGTAAAGAAATTCGAAAAAGCATTAGAATTGTATAAAAGAGAAATAGATAATGATAATTTTGTAAAACATTTTGACAAATTGGTATGTCTATTTGTAAAAGCAATTGATGAATGTGAAGAAGCCTTACAATCTCGTATGTAGCAAGGCACCCAACGATCAAGTAATGAAAAGCTTGCTTTTTGGCTACGTTAGTTAATAAGTAAAAAAAAAAAATATATAGTTTAAACTTTGTTAAAATATTTTATAATTCAATATGTAACTAGTTTTATATACTTGTATAAAATTTTATTTATTAAAAATTTTTTATTAAAAGTTTTACAAATATGAACAAGAGCCGTAATTATGAGATAATGGGTAAACAAAAATTATACAAAAATATCGTAATAAATTAAAAGTGACAACATAAGATGTAATAAGAGAATAGAGATATTTTTAACTTTCAAACTCGAATCTCTAATCTCTAACAAATAACAACCCTACAAAAAAAAAAAAATTAGTAAAAGCGAAAGGAAAGTAAAGCAAGAAAGCATAAAAGAAACTGGTACTTATCTAAATAAGTTCCAGTTCCAGACCCGAATCTCTAATCCCAACGAAGAACGAACCTACAAAAAAGTAAAAAGAATTAGTAAAATGAAAGAAAAGTAAAAAAAAAGAAAGCGTAAAAGACACTAGTACTTATTTTAAAGAAGTTCCAATTCCAGACCCGAATTTCTTATTTTTGGTGAAGAATGAATTTACAAAAAAAAAAAAGAATTAGTGAAACGAAAGAAAGTAAAACAAGAAAGCGTAAAAGTATCTAAATAAGTTTTACTTATAGACCCGAATCTCTAATTCCTAACGAAGAACGAACCTATAAAAAAAGAAAGAATTAATAAAATGAAAGAAAAGTAAAGCAAAAAAGCATAAAAGAAACTGGTACTTATCTAAAAGTTCCAGTTTTAAACCCAAATCTCTAATTTCTAACGAAGAACGAACCTACAAAAAAAGAAAAGAATTAGTAAAATGAAAGAAAAGTAAAGCAAGAAAGCATAAAAGAAACTAGTACTTATCTAAATAAGTTTCGGTTCCAGACCCAAATCTCTAATTCTCAATGAAGAACGAACCTACAAAAAAAGAAAGAATTAATAAAATGAAAAGAAAGTAAAGCAAGAAAGCATAAAAGACACTGGTACTTATTTAAAAGTTCCAGTTCCAGACCCGAATCTTTAATTACTGACAAAGAACAAACCTACAAAAAAGAAAAAAAGAATTAGTAAAACGAAAGAAAAGTAAAGCAAGAAAGCATAAAAGAAACTGGTACTTATCTAAATAAGTTTCGGTTCCAGACCTGAATCTCTAATTCTCAATGAAGAACGAACCTACAAAAAAAGAAAGAAGTAATAAAATGAAAAGAAAGTAAAGCAAGAAAGCATAAAAGACACTAGTACTTATCTAAAAGTTCCAGTTCCAGACCCAAATCTTTAATTACTGACAAAGAACGAACCTACAAAAAAGAAAAAAAGAATTAGTAAAACGAAAGAAAAGTAAAGCAAGAAAGCATAAAAGAAACTGGTACTT